ACCTTTCATGAATGGCAACCAGTAGCCTAAAATATAGGATTTTAGCTGCTACAATATTAACGATAATACATATTTTTATAGAATTCGTGTAACATTTAGCCAAAACTCATAAAGTAGAAAATATGAACAGCCCATAGGTTTTCCAAATCAAATTCATTATTTCTTTATTTCTATGTAAACCATTTTTTGTTTTTGTTTTTAATTATGCATGTCTGATGCACAGAGGTGTCAAAAGTAAAAACATTTATTACTCAAGTGGAAGTAGAAATCCTACTGTTTAAAAACACTTTTGTAGAAGATAGAGTATCAACTTAACCTTTTTGCTCAAGTAAAAACTCCATGTTTAAAACTATTTGAAGTCTAAAAGTAACACCGGAAAAAAAAAACGGGTTTGTCACGGTCCTGGTTCTGTTATTTATTTATTTAGTTTTTTAGTATTCAGATTTACTTTGCTCCATGTTTTCTAGTTTTCTTCATTTAATTTCTATGTTGTTGAGTTTTCTCGATATGTTTGAGTTCTTAGGTTTTTATTTGCTGCCCTCTGTTACCCTCATGTGTTGGTCACCTTTTCCCTAGCTCCTTTCTAGACTCCTCTCTTCACACCTGCTCCCAATCTGCTTGTTCGTCCCCTCTTTGTTCAGTCTCCTATAAATACTCTCCTTGTGCAGTTCCTCAATGCTCGTTCCTCATCTTACCTAGTCTCTCCTTGCCTTTCCCTGACTCCACGTGTTCTTTTCCCCTGATGTCTCCATGGTTCTGGTTAAGTTTTACATTTTAAGTTCGATATTGTATTCCTGCGTCTGTTACCTGTATATTGATTCATGAAAAACAGCAAGAACTCACCTCTGCATCTCAGCCCCTGCATTTGGGTCCTCAAACCTCAACCAAACCCTGACAGCGTTAAGGACAGACTGCACTAGCCTTTTAAAGGAGCATTTTTCTACAATTCTGGAATATAATTTCTTATACTTTATTTTCTCAGTTTTATAACTAATAGGAACAGTGTCAAATTTAACCATGCATCCTCTTGAAAAACTACAACTTTTAAGGTCTCAAAGTCCATGTGCCTTTCAGTAAGATAATAAAGTATTTGTACTTTGCTACTTGGTCAGCCTAGTAAACCAACCCCACCCGCCAGCGGCCAAAATCATTTTTGCCTGCGACTTGGTCTAGCCTCGACCAATGCCCCAGGCGGACCAATCACAATGCAGAGATGCGTTTTGAATGCCTGGATGCAAAGCGGGCGGGGTTCTGAGGGCTTGACAACAAAGCTGAACGACGCTGGAGAAAGCACAACAGTAGCATGCACTGCTGCAGCAGCAGCTTTCAATGGAGCACTCCGTTAAAAGTTTTCTTTTCTGTTGCTGTTGTTCAATAAAAGTATGTTTTAAGATAATTCTAGGCGAATATTATACTTTAAAGTGTCACTATCTGGTCAATTTACCCATTTAATGCATAATTTAAAAAAAAAATATCTGAAGTTAAGAGGGCTGCCGCAAACCAGCCAAGCAGGCTGTCTGCAGCAGCCCTCTCTCTGTATAGTCGTGTGTGAAGGACTGCTGGCCCTGATGGCAATTTTTGACTCAGCTTTTGAATTAGTTTTGGAAGGATTAGACTTGGGGTTTCCGTTTAAAACGTGAGCAGGAAGAGGCTCTGCGTTAATAAATTTTTAAGAAGGACGTATTCGCCGTTTTACCAAAAGGCTGTTTGTTTACACTCCCTCACCAGCTTCCTGTCGCACTTACTACGTCACAGTCAGTTGCGCTCATTGGTCAGAGCGTTGGCCAATAGGCACAAACAACGGGTTGTTCTCATCAACAATCTTCCGATGTCTCATTCATCTGGGCCAGACTAAATAACACCTTCCATCTCCCATTTAGTCTGGTTTATCAGGCTATTACTTGGTACCTCTGCTGATCCAAAAACAATACTTATCAAACAAGATTTTGCTTCCATTTTTATGTGGTGATATAAAAAAATTATTTGTATGTTTATACTTTTATTGAAGCTGGTGTTCCTTTCTTTATACATTTTTCTCACTTTGTGAATACCTTGGTGCTGTTGTTTCAGCTTGTCCAACTCTGTCTTAGCTGTGTGTGAAAACAAATTACAAAGTTATTGCTTTAATGGATCATTGTAAGCCAATGGGAAAATGCAAATACCATATTTTCACGACTATAAGGCGCACATAAACGTCTTTTTTTTCCCTCAAAATGTGCGGTGCGCCCTTTGGTGCGGTGCGCCCTATTTGTGTTGCAACTGCGACTTTTGAGACCACCTCATTGAGGAGATGATGAAAGAGTGGCTGAGGGAGGTGAATGTAAGGAGACCAGGTGGTTTTTTTCCACTCATCACCACACCATCGCTGTTAATCTGACTCCATGCGTGCCCATCTCACAGCTGATGTGAAAAACATGGTGAAACAAATTAATGCTGTGCTCGCTGTGAACCGGACGCAGCAGGTGCAGCAGAAGCAGCGAGTTTACATGCAAAGTCAACGGTTGACGAGCGTATAGACGCAGCAAAAGGTCCCGCAGCGCGTTATGAGCAGCAGGCGCGTCGGGAGCGCGCCGCCAACGCGCTGCTGCTGCTCGAGATGGAAAAATTGAAGTTTTGCTGCTGGAAGCGCCGCATCAACGAATCAGAGAAACTGATCTGGGAGCTGACAGCGAGACGACACATCGCTCTGATGACATATGATATTAAAGCAAATGAAAGGGCTGGATGGATGAGGAGATGATGAAAGCGTGGCTGAGGCAGGTGTATGTGAGGAGACCAGGTGTTTTTTTCCACGCATCACCATCACTTTTAATATGTGACTCCATGCGTGCCCATCTCACAGCTGATGTGAAAAACATAGTGAAAAAAAATAAACGCTGTGCTCGCCGTTATCCCGGGGGTCTGACAAAGGAACTTCAACCGCTCGACATCGATGTGAACCGGCCGTTCAAAGTAAGGCTGTGAGCGGCGTGGGAGCGATGGATGACAGACAGAGACCACAGTTTCAGGATAAGTGGAAGGCAGCGCCGGGCAAGTTACGCCACCGTTTGCGGATGGATTGTAGATGCTTGGACTAATGTGTCTGCTGGCACTGTTGTTCAAGCTTTCGCCAAAGCCGACATTATTTCTGAGGAGCCGCCCGGCACGGAAAGTGACTCTGACTGCGAAGAAGGGGAAATTGGCATGTCTGATTTAGCGCAGCTGTTTAATTCAGAAACAGAGGATGATGACTTTGATGGGTTTGATTAATACTTTGTAATAAATACATGAATAAAGCACAAACATACTCAGTTTTGCTCCCGCTCTATTTTTCTACCTGAAAACTTAATTCAACAGCAGCCTCTGGGCCGGGTCTCCTCCGGGTTCACCTCGGCGACTGGCAGGTGTTTTTTCATCTAAATAATCTAAATCTTGCAGCTATATTTGCTGTGATCAGTGGGAATTAAGTAGTTTTAATATGTTTTTAAGTGAGAAAGTCCACCTGAAAACTTAATAATTGCAGTCAGTTCATCCAGATTATCTATTTCTGTCGGAGGCGCTCAGACCCCGACATACCAGCGGTACACCGACAGTAGAAATCCCTTCATCAGCAGCCTCTGGGCCCGGTCGCCTCCGGGTTCACCGCGGCTGCTGGCAGGTGTTTTTCATCTAAATAATTTAAACTGCAGGCACCAGGATACCGGTAATAAAAGCGAACATATTCCGTCGGCAGGTTTCAGGATTTAAAGTTAATTTAGGAGTGATCACAGCGCTCTGTCATCTGCGATGTGTCTGTCTCACGGCCAGCTCCCAGGTTTGATTAATACTTTTTAACAAATACATGAATAAAGCACAGTCATACTCAGTTTTGCCCCCGCTGTATTTTTAAATACGCATTAGAGGTATTTAAAGGTAGTAGAGGACATGTACCTGTATATAAAAAACGCGCCCTATAGTCCGGTGCGCCTTATGTGTGTGTTAAATACAGAAATGGGACACATAACTGAGACTGCGTCTTTTAGTACCGTGCGCCTTATGGTCGTGAAAATACGGTAAATGTCTAACATCACCTACTCTAGCTGGTTTTCCTTAGAAAATTTTTTACCAGTCTGACCGTTTGAGGTGATTTAATTTTCTTTGAAAAAGGTCTTGAGATGAGGTGTTGTGTATTAGTGCTATTAAATATTATCATAAACAAAAGTCTTAGTCCTGTGTGGCATCTATGGATTGGATTCAATCCCCAGACTCCCAGGCAAAAGTCATGCATGCAGACCAAAGGGACTTACCTTAGCCAAGTAGCCAGGGTGCATCATGATTTGGAGGCATAACGACAGGACCCCACTGGACCACGTATCTTCATCTACACCCTATGTGTGGTATTTTTATATTTTGTTTGAAATTACATGTTAACTGTTAACAGGAAGCTTTCCTTTAGATTTTGGCTCAGATAGATCTTAAGAAGGGGGTTGTAGCTTTCGGATGAATAAAAAACCTGTTTAAGATCACACTCAACTGCACCCTCTGAGAGAAATGTTGAGGTGTACCTTAGTCGATTATCTAATTATGATTATATGTATTATCTGTATTGTGTGCTCAATATAAGATATTTCTGTTAAACTTAAGTGGAATAAATTCGGTTAAAAATTTCTTTTTTTTTTTGTATTACACAGGGATCACTCCCTCACAAATAAAGGACCAGGATGAAACACTTTCACCTTCCAATTGCTGCAGCTGTCTGACCATATGTGTTTTTGTATTGTGTCTCTTGCATGGGTTGTTCTGAAAGAAACTGAATTGTACTCGGTACAATGTCAAATAAAAGCACTCTGATCTGGATTCACTAAGAGGTTTCTTTTTTTCTTCTCACAATCTGCAGTTCCTTGCAGATTGTAACGGATATATTTGTACTACACTCTAGATATTGAAAATTTGTTACTTGTAAAAGGAGCAAATGAATATTAAAAATATAATATAAAAATATTCTTCACATGAAAGCAGCAATAATGTAGTTTGATAAAAACCTTGGTACAGTTGTTTCACCTTCTCCAACTCATCTTTCAGCTCTCTCGTGTTAGCTGTTGTAGTAATAAAAAGGAAACAGTAAATTGTGCTGTTATTTCATTGAGACAAGCATTCAAAGAAACCATTCTAGACAGCTGCTACTAAATATACCTTCATGATCTCTCTGTAGGTACTTTGTCTCCACCTTCAGTCCAGCCACCGAGGCGATCAACTCTCTCAGCACAGTATTGATGTCCTGTGGAATTGGTTGTTGAGGGTTAGGAACAATTTCAGCATCTTCTACCTGTGATCCATTTTTCCTTGAATGGGAAATTAGTTCCTTGTGGGTCAAAGCCTGGAGCTGAGATATAGACAGAGAGCAGATTAGCAGCAGTGCTCGGAAAAACATTGTCATCTCCATTCTAAGTTTAAGTCTCTGCAGGTCTGCTTTGTGGACTGTTTGGAACCCATACCTTAAATATCCCATGTATTACCAAGGACTAATCATTAACCTGTTTTATTTTATCTGCACGTGTTTCTAAATAACACAGATAAGACTTGAAACCTTGGCCTTTTGACTTCAGGAAACAATAAGTACCTTGGAAAGCAAACATAGAAATGTTATCTGTTTGTAGAGATGGAACTTTAATCTCAAATCTGAATCATAAGGAAATATGATATCGCCTGTACTACAATCCACAGGTTCTACATATTTAACTAAAGTAAAAAACAATTTGAATTTCTCAAGTTTCGATATTATTTTCTGGAGGATATTCTAAGTTGAACCATATTAAGGACAATAAGTTGTTGTTGGGATGTTTTTTGTTACAATTTACATTGTTTAACTGTCTCATGGTAATTATCTTGTAATTATTCTGTCATGTCTCATGATAATCCTACAAGCCCGCCATTTTTCTCTCTCATATTTTAATGATTAAAGATGAATGGTGTAGAAGAATCTTAAGTTCAATTGATTTTGGATTCTGAAGGCTGGTATAAGCATATTAAACGCGTAAGAGAGCTTGCACGAGCCCATTTCTCCTCGTGCAAGCTCTGTTTAAAAGTTGCTGTTTGCATCGCTCATACAAGCTTACTTTCCAAAAGAAGATTTGCAAATTCTCCACTATGATAGACTCACCACTGGTAAGTCAAAATCGGGACAAGCACGTAGGACGGCCTTATGTAAATATATCACCAGAATGATTGACAATTAGGAGGACTACTTATTTTGATGATGCAGCTGGAAAAAGAGCATCTACTTCTATACCTTTAATACTTTGAGCTCTGTGCTTCCACTGGAAGCTGCTGCTGAGCTGTCTGCTCTGATGCATACTCAGAGCAGACAGCTCTGCATTGAGTGGTGAGATCAAGGTCCAGGGACGTTGTCTTTTCTCGGTCTTGTGTTCTCATGAATTGGAATTGGGCTGAGGCTGATGATATTTCACGAGCACATGAGAACACACAAGGACACATATTGAGAAACGGCCATAGATTCCCTTTCTGAACATTATACTGAGACCGTATGTGAGGAACCGTTTTTAATTATTTTCTAGCATCCTAAATATTTTTATCAAATATAAGTTGTAATATTAATTTTTACTAGAGTGTGGGATGGATTCATTTGTTTTTAAATTATAATTGGATTTTGAAACACCTAGCCGGTGCAGCTTGAACACATCATCAGTGAAGGACCCAGGGCCATAGGGTGTTTCGGGTCTTTGATCTTCAGGCCCCAGTTTGTGTTCAAGCAGCGCGCTACTCCACCCTTCTCCCCTCTTGATCCACAGCCACCTTGAGGCTCTTTCAGCAGCCTCACTGATGTTTCTGGTAGCTATTCTCTCAAGCAACCCTCTGATGCCAAGGAGCCTGAATGTCAGATGCACAATCTGACTGAGGAGGCCTCTGCAGCCCACTTCTATTGGCTCACAGTGGGCCCTCCATCCCCGGCATCTGCATGCCTTAATCAGCTCAAGATATTTCAAATATCAGGAACCAAGAAGCTTCTTCCTTTCGTGAGCCTCCTCCATCCTTTCTTCCCAGGGGACTGTAAGCTTCAGTAACACGACTTGCTTTGTCGACTCAGATGTTAAGACCAGATCTGGCCTCAGTGACATCCTTGCAAAGTGCTCTGGGAACTTTAGCTGCCTTCCAAGGTCCACATGCAACTGCCAATCCCGAACCATGGCTAGAAGTCCAGATGTGCCCTTACCTGCTCTCTCAGGTTTCTCCCCTGCCCTGACAAAGAAGATATTGTGCCTTAAAGGAGACTACTGCTTTGACTCCAGGATTCCAGTGTAGATAGTGTCTGCTAATGCCTTCAACAGCTTGTTATGGGGCCACGTGTACCTTCCCTCTCCCAGTGCTTTAGGGCAGCAACTAAGGATGTCCTCCAGGGAACCATGACCCGGGCACAGTGGGCATGTTGGTGCTTCTGCAAGGCCTAAGGTATAAAGGTTAGATGGACTTGGAAGGACATCATACACTGACTGGATCAGAAGCTTAAGTCTTGCTGGTTCATACTTCCATAGTTCTGTCTAGGTGATCTTCTGGGCAGACGCATGGTTCCAATTGGTCCAGGCTCCTCGCTGGTGCATTGCCACCATCCTTCTTTGGCATTCCTCCTCCACCTCTGCACGAATCTCTTCCTGACTCGTCCAGCTACCATAGAGCCAACTAAGACGCTATGTCTCAGTCTTGCTTCTGCTTGGTTGACTTCCTGTTGTGCTCGCCATTTCCTCCCAGTTCTGACTGTGATGCCGGCAGATGAGACTCTGCCATCAGCAGAGTCTCTGTAAAGCAAAACCTCCCTGGCTCTGGTGACTTTAAAATCCTCTGTCATACCAGTCAAAGGAAGCTGCAGCTTGTTGGAGTGCCTATAGAGTAGGGTGACCAAACGTCCGTATTTCCCGGGACATATCCGTATTTCACGTCCTGTCCCGGGCGTCCCGGGTTTTTTTTAGAAAGTGAGGAAATGTCCTGATTTCACTGCGCACGACGCTCCGTGTGACGTAATCCCTGAGCCGCTTCAGTGCAGGCAGCCCTGCTCTTAATCAGAGGCTCTGTTCGAAAACCTGGGCTGCATCCTCCAAGGACGCGGTCTACCTAGACTGGATCCTTCGAAGTCCTTGAAAATAAGGAGGCCAGAAGAGTTTTGTCTGTAAATTCGAACAGGTCCACCCTTTGGCGGGTTTTACCGGCGTATGCTCTGTTGCTTAGCAACCGTGAAAGCTGACACACAAAGCAGGAAAAGAATGAATACCGAGGTTTTCAAAACTGTTTGTTTATTTATTTATTTTTAAAAAGTTAAAGTGAACAAAGACTACACTCACAAGAATCCAGAGTGGAATAAAGATTCCAACCACCGGTAGCAGGAACAAATAAAATCAAATGATAGAAACCTTAGTCAGTTAAATAACCTGCTGCTGTCATTCTGCACATCTCTGATGTTGCTGCTATTTTCAAATATCCATTACTGTAAAAATGTCCATAGCTGCATATTGGTTATTAATTCTCCAGTTTTATATTGTTAAAACACTTTACAGAATTGTATTTTTTATATTTTAACTCTTCCCTATTATGTTATTCTTATACATTTTTCTAAGGTCCTCATTTGTGTGACCATTTTCAATAATCTTTCTGCTGCAGTAAATTTGCCCATTGTGGGACAATAAAGGGATTTTCTATTCTATAAAAGGGTTAGAAATACATAAGTAAATCTAAACAATGTATTTATAAAAATATATCTGCAAAATCTCTAATATTCAACAACAAAAGATACTTAGTTAAGCATATTGTGCAAAACAACAAGAAAAAAATTAAACTCCTATCAGATTTATAGTTCCCACTCTGCAGATCTATTAGAATCTGTCCTCAAATTACAGCCAAACTCATTTACACAATAACAGATAAAAACCTTTAGATAAATCAAACACTACCGCCACATATCTGACTCATTAACCATTAAAACAACTATTTTCATTCATTTCAGACGGAACTATTCACAGAGTTGTATTATATTAAACTGAACTTCCAATTTTCACCACTGTTCTGCGCCAAGTAACATTTCCTCTGATCACGGAGCAAATCCCGATGATGAGACATTTGTTCTTTCAATCAACACCCAGGCCCCCCGCCCCTCTACACCCCCCCCCCCCCCCGCTCCAAGGTGTCCTGGTTTTCCCAAATGAAAATATGGTCACCCTACTATAGAGGACAGTGCTGCTGAGGCTCTTTGGCAGACCCAGCCATCTTCGTAGGTATTGGACATTGCGTTCAAAGCCCTCCACCATGGTTACTGGAACTTCATAAATCAGTAGCGGCCACAGAAGATTTGGCAGGATGCCATGCTGCTATATCCATGCCTAAAACTTCCCCAGGAGACCAGACTTACTACTGCTAGCCATGCCTTTAGCTTTACATGGGCTGCCTCCACTGCTGCTTTGTCCTTCAGGGTGCTATCAAAGATCCTTCCTAAGCTCTTTATGGGCTTCTCTGACACTGTCGGAATTGGGACTCCATACATATAGAAGCTGTATTTGTCCTCCACTTTCCCCTTCCTCAGGACAAGGGATCTGAGTTCAGTGATCTTCTCACCGAATTTAAGACAGTGAAATAGAGCCAGTTGAATCTCAGGAGGCTGAAAATATTGAGTTTGAATTTTGAAAGTTTGAACTTTTTTAAATGCAGATTTTTTTAACCCTCAAAATTAAACTGAAAAGTAAGTATTGAAAATGTAATCACTTTGAAATAGTAATGTGAATTTTTAGCTTGAAGAGAAAATAACAAATTAAATTTCAACTGTGTAGAAATAATGACAATGAACTTCTTTTTAGGTCAAAAATGTGTTCTGAATATATTTGAACACTGAAACAGTAAGTACAAACATACAACATTTAAATTTCAGTGGCATTTTTAATTCAAATCCCAGTGACACAGATTTACTTCCATACAGATGGTATTGGAGGTGTGGGTAGCTCTCTGCAGGTAGGCAGATTTTGCTCCCTCCTTTTGTCACTGTATGTGACACTAAGGCTCTGGTTGGTCTCATTCTCTGAGCATTGCAGGGTCTCACTCCTCGTCTGCTCCAACAACCGCTTCGTAAATCCAATGGGATTGGCAACAAAGGCCGTTCACTTACGAGCCCTCTTGCTGCCTCTTCGCCTGTGCCACTCAGCCCGACGCAGAGAAATAACTTTCTGCCTCAGGATGTCCCGGAGTTCTCTCAGGGCTGGCCTTTCCTCCTCGCACGCCCTCTTATATTGGCGATTCTGGGCTTTGAGCTCTTTCTTGAGCTGGGAGATCTTGGTCTGACGCCGGTTTTGCCTAGCAAAGTTCTGAGCCTTTGGTAATTTTATGCGAAATCCTTCTGCACCGATGCTCATGTTGTGCCATATGCCATGATCATACATTTGGACATTGGGAACAGGTGTCCATAATAATAATAATAATAATAATAATACATTTTATTTAAAA